ATAATCAAGTTATTACTTTATCAGACTTGATTATCTCCAGGGCTAGGGGAGGGAATTGTGGGTGTGTGTTATGTTTTTACTGTGCCCAATTGGTTCATCTTTGTCCCTCCCTGGGGGATGTCCCCTCGCATGGGGACTTGCATAAAAGCCTGTGTGCAATCATTAAAGCTCAGTTCAGTTGTACCCTTCTTCTTGACTTCGGCTGATGTTTGGGGATTCGTGTGCTTCACTAAGGGAATTATCTTATGAAGCTATTGGGATTACTATACAGTTCATCTACTTTATCTACCGAACGGAGAGCTATAATCACTGATGCTCTGGCGGTTTGGGAGGAAACTACCGAATGAGGTTTAAATATACTTGTTTCCTTACAGTGTGTGAGAACAAATTGCATTGTCTAATCACTGTAACAGTTGTGTGTCCCTCCTTGCATCTATTTTATATTTGTCATTATCATCCCTCTCTAAAGCTTACCATTTTCACAGTGAGGAAGCTAAGATAATTGGTAGCCCACTGGGTGGAGAATGTGCTCTTTACTAACATTGTATACATATTTAATGCTCCCAGTGGTCCTGTAAACCTAATTGAATTAGAATGCTAGACAAGTAACCCATCATCTACACTCTAATTTGTTAAAAAGTGCTGGTTACGAAGGACAATTATCTTCAACGATAGAAGGTTCAAGCTATATCCCCTTTAATAATGGAGACTGGTCTGGTCAGGGGACATATTTTGATCTCCCAAAGGCCTCAAAGAGCTGTAAAGTGTCACTTTTAAACTGGTTCTCCAGGTTAATGCCTACTTTGCCTTAGTGTATCGTTGGCATTACTTATAACTCTCAATATCGACCAGGCTTTTTCTTGCACTTGATATTTTAACATCACTGTTTTGGTAGCATTCTTGAAATTGTAAAATTGTAAAATGAGTTATAGGAAAGAAACTAATATGCACCATAAAGGTTGTTCCTAAGACATACATTTAGAATGCTCTCTGTTTTTTTTTATTTAGTTTTGAATTAGCACTTTTAAGTTTTAACCTCCTGTGGGGAATCCTGAAAATAAAGGATACAAGTTATATTTCATGTCAGTGTGCAAATAAATAAAATGAGCAAACAAATATGAATTTTTATTTTCTTGGTCATTTAATTCCCCATGTTCCGTAACATTGCAATATTAAGTATATATTTTCTGTTAGCTCCAACTCACCAAAATCATATATTTATTTTTTTTCTGTATCAAAAACCATAACAGAAAACTCTAGAAATTTTTAATTTATTTTACTATAACTCAGGAATATTGAGCCGAGCAACTTTTCTACTATCTATTCATATTGCAATTATTTTACATTTTTTGTATTTTTATTTTTTCGTATTCTTACTTTATAAAAGATTGTCATGCCGTTGGCGTTTGAAAGAATTAAAGAGACTTTGCCAGTGACAAAACATTTTGAGCATGATTATCAATCCAGAATATCAATTTTGTGGGTCTTGAAATCTCAGAATTACATTTACAGCTAATTTCAACCTTTTAAAATGTCATAATTTAAATCAAATTTTGACTTAGCTTTAATGAGGCATTAATGGTAGTAGAGATGTTAGCTTCATTTAAATCTGACCTTATCAGATATGTTTAGAGTAGAAAAATCAATTCCAGAGGAGGGATATTTCATTCTTTTTTTCTAACTAAAGAAAGATTATTTTGCTACTTCTAAATGTTCTCTTGTATGCGAAACAATTTATAATTTGTTCTTAGACCGCAATCAATGCTTTCTGATGACAGTTAAGAATCCAAACCGAACTTGGAACAGTGCAGCGCATTAGTTAATCAAGTATCTATTTGCATAAATACTTTGCTGGTTACCAGGAAAAGTAATTAATCATGCTTTTGTTTCTTGCTGTCAATAACTTACGGAAATTGGCTATGACATGCCAATATAGTCAGAGTTTAAAGCTTTCTATTAAAACGCAAAATCAACTGTTTGCATTTTCTGTCTAGCAAATTGTCAATTCTACAAATAAAATAAGGAACAACTATTAACAATTCAAATTTAATAGAAAGCTAGATTCAGGAGTGAGTAGAGTTGAGCAGACCCGAACCACAAAGTTTGGATTCGTACCGAACATTATGGTTTTTGGACCCCGGACCCAAACACAGACATTTCAGTGTATGTTCAGTGTTCAGCGATTTAATGGCGCGTTTTGAAAGGCTGCAGGGCAGCCAATCAACAAGCGTTTGACTCGTATGCCCTACTAATGGCATGGCTGTGATTGGCCAGTGCAGCATGTGACCCAGACTATATATATAAGCTAGAGTCACGTAGCGCCACACGTCACATGAGCTCTTATTAGTGTAGGGACAGGATGCTGCAGCTCTGAGAGACAGCTTAGGAAATAATTCTAGTGTTGAATCTGCAAACTACAGCGATTATTCAAACTACAGCGATTATTCAAACTACAGCGATAATTCAAACTATAGCGATTATTTTAGTGGGTGCTATACTACATTCTTGTACCCTGCCCTGAGCCCAGTGACACAGAGAGTGCAGTGCACTTGCAACTGCATGTGTGCCAGGCACATGACTTTAATTATGTTCTGGTAGATCAGTGGACAACATCTAGACATTTTTAAATACTGCATTTTGTTTGGTGCTAAAAAGTACGTTTGCGTACTTCATTTCTTGTAGTCTAATAAAACCCTTAAATACTACTGTTACATTGTTGGTTTAAAAAATCACACTTTTTTGTGCTAAATAGTACATTTGCGTCCTGCAGTGCACTTCATATCCGAGAGTCAAATAGAACCGTCAAATACTGTGCATACAGCGCACTTTGAAAAATTCTAATTGTTTTGGATGCTAAATAGTACATTTGCGGCCTGCACTTCATATCTGACAGTCAAATAGAACCGTCAAATACTGTGCTTACAGCGCACTTTTAGAAATTCTAATTGTTTTGGGTGCAAATGCTAAATAGTACATTTGCGTCCTGCGGTGCACTTCATATCTGAGAGTCAAATAGAACCGTCAAACACTGTGCTTACAGCGCACTATGAAAGATTCACATTGTTTTGTGTGCTAATGCTAAATAGTACATTTGTGGCCTGCACTTCATATCTGACAGTCAAATAGAACCGTCAAATACTGTGCTTACAGCGCACTTTGAAAAATTCTAATTGTTTTGGGTGCAAATGCTAAATAGTACATTTGCATCCTATGGTGCACTTCATATCTGAGAGTTAAATAGAACCGTCAAATATTGTGCTTACAGGGCACTTTGAAAAATTCTAATTGTTTTGGGTGCTAAATAGTACATTTGTGGCCTGCACTTCATATCTGACAGTCAAATAGAACCGTCAAATACTGTGCTTACAGCGCACTTTGAAAAATTCTAATTGTTTTGGGTGCAAATGCTAAATAGTACATTTGCATCCTATGGTGCACTTCATATCTGAGAGTTAAATAGAACCGTCAAATATTGTGCTTACAGGGCACTTTGAAAAATTCTAATTGTTTTGGGTGCTAAATAGTACATTTGTGGCCTGCACTTCATATCTGACAGTCAAATAGAACCGTCAAATACTGTGCTTACAGCGCACTTTGAAAAATTCTAATTGTTTTGGGTGCAAATGCTAAATAGTACATTTGCATCCTATGGTGCACTTCATATCTGAGAGTGAAATAGAAACGTCAAATATTGTGCTTACAGGGCACTTTGAAAAATTCTAATTGTTTTGGGTGCTAAATAGTACACTTGTGGCCTGCACTTCATATCTGACAGTCAAATAGAACCGTCAAACACTGTGCTTACAGCGCACTTTTAAAAATTCTAATTGTTTTGGGTGCTAAATAGTACATTTGCGTCCTGCAGTGCACTTCATATCTGAGAGTCAAATAGAACCGTCAAACACTGTGCTTACAGCGCACTTTGAAAAATTCACATTGTTTTGGGTGCTAATGCTAAATAGTACATTTGCGTCCTGCGGTGCACTTCATATCTGAGAGTCAAATAGAACTGTCAAATACTGTGGTTACAGCGCAGTTTGACCATTTCTAATTTTTTTGGGTGCTAAATATTACATTTGCGCCCTGCACTTCATATCTGACAGTCAAATAGAACCGTCAAATACCAATATAACAATACTGTAATTCGGGGGCAATACCCTCACAAGTCAAACTGAGAGGTCAGTTTATAGAGAAAACTGTTGCCTGGATACAATTCTAAAACAATTCCCATATGTCCTTTGCAGACTTTACATGCTGGAAAAACACAGGTGCCAACTCCTGTGGATTTCTGCAGTGTGCAGACCGGCAAGGAGGGTAAGTTTGAGGAGTGGGTGGAAGATGATGTGGAGGATGATGAGGTCCTAGACCCCACATGGAATCAAGGTCATGCGAGTGACGTGTGCAGTTTGGAGGAAGAGGCGCTGGTCGCACAGAGGCACCAGCACAACATAAGTGGGAAAAGGGTGCAAAAGCGGAGCGGCCATCCCCTAGCGCTCGTCGGCATGTATTAGCTTGAAAATTATCACAGTTATCCAAGTAACAGATGGAGCAATCAAAGGATCCATAATAGAAGTTCAGGTTCGTACCAGATTTAACAAGCCACTGTCTGGGCGGCGGTTTGTCGACTGGGACAAAGTATGCCTGATGTTGAAGTTAGGAGTCACAGTGTGGAATGGATTAGCAGGGTCTGGTGCAGGGTAACCGCACACCCCCTGGTGTTGAGCACCAACATTTGTGCGGCCACATACCAGGACCCTGATGCAGCTTCAGTAAAAAGAGTACTGGATACCAGAAGCCATCACTAGACTGATCCGCAACTTGGAACAGGATGTGACATTCACTGTAGTGGCTGTGCGCGCTTTCAGCGTTCTCACCCTGCTGCTGCTCACCTGTCTGCACTGCAGCGTAACTTTGGCCTCATATGCGACGAGCCCACAAGGTGGAACTCCACCTTGCACATGCTGGAGAGACTGTGTGAGCAGCAGCAGGCGATAGTGGAGTTTCAGCTGCAGCACACACAGGTCAGTCGCTCTGCACCAGACTTGCCCTCCAATTGAACATAGTTAAAGGATTTCAAATGGACTCATTACAATTACAGGGCCTCTGAAGAGTCCTGTATTGTTATATGTCGCCTGCTGACTTCCTTGGATGTGGTAGCCATTTCTCAGGCTCCCTCTCCAGAATCGAACCCTGATTCCCCATTACCCGTGGTCACCATGGTAGGTGCAGAAAGTGTCATCGAAAGTTGATAGGGCAGACATCCGAATGCAAAGTTGCTGTCACGGGGACGCACGATTGGCCCGAGGTTCTCTAGAGTCACCAAAGTTCCTGCGCAACTATAATGTCGACAGCTACTGTGCCCTAACAGATCTTCACTACTAGGTAGGGGATGAAGGGACCTGTGCCGGTCCCTTCTCTTCCCCACTCTCTGGCAGACATCTGGCAGTACTGCCTCAGATCCTGAGAGATGCCTGGCCAGAAGAAGCTGTGGGTGAGCCGAGACGCTGTCCGGCTCCTGCCCAAATGCCCTGCCAAGGGGATATCGTGAGCTAGCTTCAGCAGCTCATACAAATACTTCTTGGGTCTGGGGCTGGCGGTCTCTCACCAGCGGTGTCATTGGGGAGCCCATTGAAAAAGTGCTCTAGCATGACGAGCTGGGTGATCTCCTCCGTGAACTTGGCTTGATGGGAGTTGAGCCAGTTCTGGGTGGCCCTTGTGATGCGGAATGCCCACTCTGCATGGGAGTCCTTCTCCCCTTTCCGGGTCTCCCTAAACTTTCGGCGGTATTGCTCGGGGGTGACCGCATACCGGGCCAGGAGGATTTGTGTAATAAAGGGATAGTCGCTGATCTGCTCTTCTGGTACAGCCCAGTAAATATCCGCTGCCTTCCCCACTAGTTTGCTGGCCAGGATGGTGACCCAGTCGCTGGGGTCCACGTCTTGGAGTAGGCACTGGCGCTCAAAGTCTTGTAAAAAGTCATCGATGCCTTCTTCTGCCTTCTTGAACTTGTTGAAGGCATTGTATGGTAGCTTGTGGGCCAGCATGATTGTGCTTCCCAGCGCCCTCTGCTCCCTTCTTCCTTCATCTGGGTTCATGGAGGTCGCCTTCTGTCTATTGGCAAGGACATAGGCTTGCAGCTCCAAAAAAGTCCTTCTGACAATCTCCTCTGAGGGTGGCTCTCGGTAATATGCCAGGCGCCGTTCCACCTCCTTGCGCACTTTCTCCTCATCTCCAGCCCCTGGCTGGGGTTCGTTGCCTCACTGAGTGCCTGGTCGTCCTCCATGAGCGCAGCAGTCAATTCAGCCTTGTTACGCCCACCAGGCACCTCTGGCTCCACACAAGTCTTGCAGTGTAGGTCGCTTTAGAGCACTGTAGTCCATTTTTCTGTTGGCAGGGACATGGGATCCCACTGCTTGCCACCAATTGAAACGGGACCTGGGTAACCGATGGTTATCCACTTTGATTAGATTAGGTCAGATCTATTTCCCCAGTAACCGGATGGAACACAGTTCCAGGATACAACATTTGACAATCTTTATTTGGGTACACAGCTTTGCATCCTTTTGCCTCCTCCTCCTACTCCGCTTCCTCCTCCTCTACCACCTCCTCATCGGGTCAGCGTAACACCTTCACCACCAACTTCAGCACAGCCAGGGGGAAACGACAGCAGGCTGTTTTAAAACTCATATGTTTGGGGGAAAAACCCCACACCGCGCAGGAGCTGTGGACGGGCATGGAACAACAGACTGATGAGTGGTTGTTGCAATTGAGCCTCAAGTCCAGCCTGGTGGTGTGCAATAATGGGCGCAATCTCGTATCATCCCTCATATGCCGTAATCCTTTCATTTATGCTATAATCAAGTCTACCATCTGATGAGCTATTTCTCTACATTAACAATCCGTAAGTAGTACCAGCACTACTAACAGGAAAAGCGCAGGTGCAGCTATCCTGGATACCATCAATCTGCTCAAAGGCAGATTGAAAGAAAAAAATAAGAAAATCAATTTTTTCTTAAGTTTGCTCTTTCTGCTGCTTCATAGATAAATCCGTAATTTGCTACCATTAGCAATCTCAAATAAGGATACCAAATTAGTTAGATATCTACAAAACAGCTTCAGCTGCTTATTAGATAAGTCCATAATTTGCTATCCATATGTAAATTAATGGATCCAAAATATTTTGTTTTAATAAAAGGGACAATATAGGCACCCAGACCACTTCAACTCATTGAATTGGTCTGGGTGCGCTGTTGTATGTCCCTTACCCCTACATTTCTAATTATGACAGTGTTTTATAAACTTCAGTAATTACATTGCAGGGTTAACACCACCTCTAGACAGCCACTAGAAGGACTTCTGGATGGTTAGGTGACTTTTGGTCCCTAACTGATGCTGGATGTCCTCACACTTTCCATGAGGACATCTAGCGTCACCCAGAAAGTACATAGGAAAACATTATATTGGGGTAAGTCCTAATGCAAGTACGGCAGTGTCCACGCATGCTCGTTAGGTCCGCCCTGCTGACGTCAATTGAGGAGGAGCAGAGGCAGAGCCTGAACCAGTGCAGAGGGATATCAGCACTAGAATCAGGTAAGTGATAATGGGGCTTTTAATGCCTTCATCACCTTGGGGAGATTGCGAAGGAGGATGGCAAACAAGTTTGATTTCATAGCACTAACGCTTCCTTTTAATTTTGAATTAGTTTGATTTTGTTTTTTTTAACATGAATTCATACATGTAGGCACAGGTATACAGGTATAAGGTTGTATATTTGGAACAGTATCTTAAACTGGGAATCATACCCAGAGGTTTGGTTTAGATTGTAATGATTTTATGCAGAAATTGAATAATGTTTTAGAGAAATGTTCAAAAGAATTGATGGGGTTACTTATTGATTTTCAACAAAACAAAATCAAATCATGTGAGGAGGAAACAGAGAACAAGATCCATACTAATTTCAAATCTGAAGCGATTAAGATTAAAAATAATGAAATTAAACAAAAAAAATTTGAGTATTGGAAAATAAATTGATAGAAACTAAAAATCACAAACTTACTATAGATAAAGAAGATTTTAAGATTATGAGAGAGCTAGAAAAGCAGGGCATTTTTTACCATAGAACTTTTAGGAATCGGAACTGGTTATGTAATAATAATATTAATAACAATACATTTAACACATGAAAGCCAAACAGACAAGGAGATTTTAGGAGGCCAGAGAACTAAAAGAATAGTAAAAGACCTAATTTTATTGTGCCCAAATCCCCAAAGGAAACGATGACCCCAAAGACCCCAAAGAGGTCTATATTCAGACATGATAGGGAGAGGAACAGTAGAACCTACCCTAAGAAAACCCATTGACTTACCAAGTACAATGAAGCATGATTTTTTTTAGACTGAAGCCCCCCGGACTCTCGTCCATCTCTCCACAACTTGGGGAATATGAGGAGACCGGTACCACATGACAATCGTTACTGGCCACTCCGGCACCTCAGGAAGAGGAGACGGACGGCAGATCAGCAGGAGTCAGAGGAGGTGGGGCCTATGCATCCACAAAATCCCAGGGACGAGCAGTAATTTCTAAGGACATTATTAATTTATCCAAAGTCCAATTTAATGCACAATAATTGAAAATCCTGTCTAAGGGACTAAAATTAGCTCCTAGCAAAAGCCCCAATGGTTTTAATTTGTTCATGGATGCACAAAAATATTTACGGACATTGACAATGAAAATACATTTTTTTTTTTATAGACAATTACCCACTAGAGAAATACTAGATTCAGATTCTTTTATACATACTAATTTTAAGCCAAAGTCCAAGTTTTATCCAGTACAAGACAGAGGTGAATATTTACAAATTTTTAATAATATGCTGTTAAAAGAATTTGAGGCCATAGAGTGAAATAAATGTTTTAATAATAATTTAAGTCCAAACGAAAGAACAGCTTTTAAAGGTTTATGCAGTAGACAAGTGTAACGGACCGTTTTGCACACAAGGGGTAAAAAACGTTTAGGCGATCGGCCCCCTTTCCAGAGATACAGGCACAGCTACTGCAGAACACCAAAACTCACGAACTGGATACAAAATAGCACTCCAACTCCCGAACTGGAACCTCCCAAATAGCTGCTAGCAGACGAACAGGAAAAGCAGACTAACAGCTTACACTCCTGGCAATCAGTCTCTAACAGCATACAGTGAATCCCCCCAAGAACGAGACAAGGCTCCGTGTTGAGGGTCAAGCAGTGGTCTGAGGTGCTGGCACACCCAGCCTGGTTTTTATTACAGTCTTGCAAATACAGGACCGCCCACAGGGAGGTATAAAACAACCAATCACATCACAGTTACATCCCACATATTCCCTCCCCTTATCCTGAGAGGAAACTCAATTACACATACAGTTAAAACATACTTTCTACCCAACTTTCATAACTCTAAAACCATACATCACATTCACATAAAATTACACATTCACAATCAATCCATTCAGGGGAACAACATATTAAAAAATGGCCTGAATCAGACCAGGGGTTCAAAAGTTAGTAAAAAGTCCTTTGTGACTAAATGAAGCATGGCTTTCTGGCCCAAACCAGTTTCAGAGTCTTCTATCCTGGAGATAAGTAATTCAATTATCTCCCAGGACAGACACAAGACTCCATTAAGCACATGGTTGCAAAAAGACACAAAACACTTTAAAATACATAAAGTCACATTTATACATAAAACACAGACATTTCACATATCCCCAGATAGCTCAGGTCTGAGCGCACATTATTAAGTGAATGGCGCTCAGACCACACGAATACAGTTTAATCGCCATGGAGCCAAAGTCTTTACAGTCAGTTTCATACAAATGGGCTCCATGGGATTCCTATCTGGGGTATAACACATTCAAACAAATCTACTGAACCCCAGGCAGAAAAGCACGAATACAGCTTTTCTGCAGGCAAAAATAGTCTTTTAAAAGGGGGCCATAGTCCAAAGGCAGCAGGCGAGCAACCAGGTTTCTCCAATGCAATGTGGCCAGATTGGTCTCGTCACAACAAGATATTGTCTTCAAGGAAGCAGACAAGGGAGGGGCTATAGTGGTCATTGACCATGAGGATTATATCACGGAGGCTTTAAGACTTTTGGGTGACAGTACCACCTACTGCATATTACCTACAGGTCCTACCTGTCAAGGTTAATACTCTCCAACATGCAAACCAGAGAACAATAAAGGCAAGCACAGGCAGACGTATTACCGGACCTTAAAGTGGCCGGACTTAACGTAGGAATAAGAGATAAGAATAGTCAAGCAGGAACCAATGAGCGCTCCTCGGGCCCATAACCTCTCCAATGAACCAGGTACTGAAGCGAGCCACGGGAGATCCGGGAGTCGACAATATGTTGGATCTCA